CGAAGTATGTGAAAAATTATTGAAGAGAGTAGTCGAGTAGTGCGAAGTGTCATTATATGAAATCCGTTGTATTATAAACTGTTATTTTCGACCCTTTTTGCAGCATAAGTTAAAGGAAATAATCCTTGCTCAAATCCTGGTGTTCGACGTGGTGGACAGAAGTCTTATGACCTGGAATCTGTGCATAACTTCTGCTGCTCTTTGATAGCCGGCTCTTTGATAGAAATGTGGAATAAAGAAATGTGTACAAAATTCATAAAACATCTCACTTGTTTGAATATTTCTCTATAGTTTCATGAAGTACTAGATATTTTCTAAGAATTAAAAACTTTTCAAATTTAAAATTCTAAGATTTAAAATACAATAACCCACCGATCTCTCCCTTACCTTTCCTACAAAACTAATGACTTGCTCAATATCATGATAATATTTCAATGATTGTATTATTGCTACTAAACGCATTAATGATCAATCACATTTTGATTTTGATTAAAAATGTTTCCTTACTTTTAAACAGTAGAAAATACAAATAGTAGATACCCTCACCTGATTTAACATGTGATGTTCATATGCGTCGGAGGGAGATGTTTGATTTTCTAAGACGATTATATCCCCATCAGCTGCCAAATCTTTGTAAATTGTAGCCAAAGACTGGTTACCAGTTCCAACTGCTATCACTGTCTTCGAGTTTTTGTAAGACTGCAAAGAACGTCATTGATATCAATCAATCCGTTGTTCATCGGGCCATCAGAGGTTTTGAAAAAACTGTCAGAGAAAAAATCCCTTTTTGCATTTTAGATGTCATCATTCACTTTCATTTGTTTATGAGCACCCATGTTTATTTGAAGAGACTTGGTTTAACTAAATTAATTTTCTGGTGTCGGCTAAAAAAGAATACGTTTTCATTGCGGGAGCTCCGATTAAAGACGCTCGTGCTGGCAACGCTAATCTCGAGGCTAACGCTGCGGCAACGCTAACCTCGAGGCCCATGCTGAGCGCGGGCAGCATGTGCACGCCGGTGGCGAAGCCCGAAACGAAGTACACAAAGAGCAGGTAAAGCGTCGGGAAGAGCAGAAACAGCAGCAGTGCCAGCCAGCCGCGCTGCGCCACAAGCCTCTTCTTCAGGCACATGGCGCGCACCTGGTTGCACAGCAGCTTCAGGCCCGAGAGTCGTTGCTCGGGCCACGCCCCATCTGCGCACGAAACGTCCACTCACCACCCACTGGATGTGATGGATGATGCAAACTGACAGCCCATACTGCCGTCTGCGAATATGACGAATAGGTGCAAACCAAATACAATGTAGCCACCAGAGGGTTCACTCGGGTTCCACCTCCCCCCAACATGATCTCTGAACGCCCGCCATCTCCACCCCACATGTTCCCCACTTTCCCCCACGGAATTTTGATTTTTGTTCCCCCATATGTTCATGTGGATATCAACTAGTCCAATCGGCAAGTGCTGAAAAATGGTGTTATCTGGAAGGTCATAAAAACATTTTAAAATATTTTGTATGTACCCAGGCACTAGGTCTAGTCAAGATCCCAAGTTTTCGACCTCCTAGACCTGTGCTAACTCAGGGATACCCGAAAACCGGTATTTTCAGGCGATTTCTCTCGCTATAACACTTTAATATTAAGTTCTGCAGAATAATGATTAAATTAAATTTTAAAGAGGATCAAATTTCCTGCAGGTTTTCTCAAAAGTCACTCAAATTTTTACATTCACGCGCGTGCTTCGTAAGGAGATAAATTTATGTAATGGAACGAAAAGGGGAATTTCCGGCAGAAAAACCATTGCCTGGCCTTAGTTAAACCTTGAGGCTAAATATAGTAAATTACTTCATCTAACATGTGGTGTAGCAGAATCGATTTGTGGGTCCTTGACACCGAAAATTGATTGATGGCAAAACGTCTGTCCATTTGTTTGTTTGTAAACAACGAGAGCGCAATCTGAACGATCTCGAAGCTTTGGGAGTTTCAAACGGATATTTTAAGTTTCATGGGTACTTTACATGGAGCCTCAAAACATATTCAAAATTTTCTCAAAAATGCCATCAAATTTTTTGATTAAAATCTCTCATAGGATTGCATAAAGGACGCTTATGACAATGGTGCAGGTATCAAGTGCATAGAAATTTTTAGAAGATATTTTTTGTCGCGGAAATATGTGCGAAATAGTGGCAATTTTGATGTTTTTATACATTTTTTGTTTTAAAAGGCATCAAATTGTTTCTTTAATATTTGCCCATGTATGCAATTAGATTTTATAAGCGTCGTTGGCCTGAATTGCCACGTCAGAGTGTCTGACTTGGAGTAGCGGTAAGACGCACGGTTGTTATCTCGAAGAAGCTGAGTTCGAGTCACAGCGCGGAATACTTTTAGCTGGTTGAAAACACTTTTGCAGGTTTATGTAGCAGAATAATATTGTAAAGTGGTTGGAAATAATGCGAGAAAGTATATGCTGTTTTAGCACCACTAGTTTATTTTTCTTTCTCCAACGCGTTGTTTAGTCAGAATCCAAATAACAAAATTGAAGAAATGTTTTTTGGCCTTAAATTCTGTACTAAAAAATGTAGGTCTTTAAAAAGGTCTGCACATTTTTTTAAGAAACAATTAGTCTGTGCGTCATTTATGCTTGTAATTTATGCAGTTTATAAAAACTACGCTTTCTCAAAAATAACTCCAGTTTTTCTTAGAATATTTTGCACGGATGCATGAAAGAATGACGCAGGTCGTATTTTCGTTGGAGTTTTTGAATTTTTAAAAATTGCAATTTTAGGTATAACGCGAGAAATTATAATCTGTTTTGGCACCACTAGTTTTAATATAATATTTGGTAGCATTAATGCTAGATGTCGCCTGATCAAGACCGTATCAAGCAGTGCAATGCGTCTAGCTGCACGTCCGAGAAGACGTGAATGCCGTGAAATATTCCATCGTGAATGCAGGCCCTGACGCGCCGCGTGATAAAAACCGAAGTATACAGTGGCACGCGCCGGCTGAGCAGCATGAAGACTCACTGGTGAGGCGCGTCGACCGCGTCTGGGACTGGGCAGTCTTTTCCACAGTCTCGTACTCCTCGCATACCCTGCCACACAGAGCAGTTGTCATTGGCCTGGTACTCCCACGCACCTTCTGAGCATCAGGCATTATCATGTAATGCTTATACGCCAAAGTGTGAAGTACCTTCGTTTGCACGGAAAGTATTGATTTTCAGTTAACAAATCTGTCTCTTAACCTTTTTTGTTAACAAACTAAATTATAGTGAGACTTACAACATTCCTGTCCTCTTTTTTACTTTTATCAAGTTAAAACACAGTTAATAAAATATAAAAAATAACAATAACAATTGAACAAATTGATAATTTAAGAACTGATTTATATGTTTTCTATTTTATTATTATTCAAAAACATATACGCGTTAATGAAACTTTATTCTCCTAAAATGCAGTAGTCTTTCATTGCGTAATAATTTTCTAAAATATTTTGTCAATATTAATAATACTTAATAATAAAGTTACTCGAACACAGATACATCTCAATCACTTTTATAATAAACATATTTCTTTAAGATCAATCTATCCACGAAGGAAAACGAAATAAATTACAGCAATATTATTCAGAAAGTATATTTTACGTGTTTTCAGAAAGTGCCACTTTTTCGACAAATTTGGCCTAAAACAAAAAAATCCCGGCCAATCCTGATAGCCGAGATGGCTACGGAAGTACTGCTGTGGCGGTCTTGCATGGAAGGATCGCTGATTCGAGTCCTCCCTTCGTGCATGGGTGTGTTTGTGTATGCTTTTGTATTGTTCTTACGTGTTGTGTTCCCTCTACAGTTACTCCAAAGAGAAAAAATAATTAAAGTAGTCGCTTCATGACCCAGTTGTTAAAAAGCCCACCTAAACATATCCCACTACAAAAACGCGCCTATTAATAGCATGGGATCACTGAACATCCACGAGACTCTAGCATAAATGTTTTTCCCTCTATATTTTCACTTTCAATTTAGTGATCTGTCTTCATCGAAATAGTAACAACTGGTCCATTCAAATAAGACCAAAAACTGGCGAATGAAGGAAAACTTCCTGACTTTTGAAACTTGGCATGATTGTTTGTTGGTATCTAGCGTACATTATACTACAAGTCTTGAGTTGTGGGGAGGGGGCTGGGATAGGGAGGACAGGTTACGTTACAGATGTGTTTTCTTTGCTTTTTGCATATATTTCTTTAATGACGAATTCTACCGGAAATTATGTTCTTTACAAACTTAAAGTATAGGATTTTGTTACAGATTCGAAAAGTGCTTGTTTTTATTTTATATATTATAAAATACTTAGTACAAAATCAGGTAGAATTTTATACAAAACTGTCAATATTATAAAACACTGGTCGTGTATGTGTAGTCCAACATCAGCTGGCCAACTAGTATGACCCAAGTAGTTTTTTTAGCTAGAGGTTCATGAGAATTTACATGTGTATAGTACGACACAAGTCATTTTTTACCAACTAGGGACGAAAACTTCAAAGAAATAAAGACTGAAAATTAAATGATGCTTTCACAGAACTGAATAATATTTTCTATTAAACAACCAAGAGTTGAATTATTTTTATTTTTATATTACTTATTATTTTATTTCATTTTTATTTTCATTATTTAATTTTTCCTTGCATAATCATGTTTGTAATGGAAGAATCAATTTTGGGAGGAACATGTTTAGAGAGGAAATTCGTTTTTTAAATTTTCATTTTTTGTTTTATTAATTGTTGTATTAAATAATAATATAATATAAACAGCATTAGTCTGAAGTCAATTGTTGAAACAATTCTCTGTAGTTTTTCTTCTGTAGTAAAATATCTCCTTACATTTAGCATATTATCACTCTTACCGGCAGACAATAATATTTGTTCCTAAACTGAACGTAGGAACTATTTTCAAAGCAGTTATTGCACTTTTTAAGTAAACGCAAAGTCAAAATTCTATGGAATGAAAATTTTAATTTTTAGTCTCAATTCAAAAGTGCAAATATAAATGGATTTATTACAGTACCGGAAGTGAGAATTCCAATCACTCACTTTGAAGTAACACCCCTACCCCCACAATTCAGGATTTTTAGATTAATTTGTTCTAGGTACCAAAAAATATCAAAGCAAGTTTCAAAACTCAGAGATTTATTCATTCGATTTGTATAATTTGACAGTGCTAAACTAGAACAATGGAGCAAACGAAATTACAAAGGAATTGTTTTCATTACGTTTGCTTCAAAACTTACAATAAACGAGAAAATGAGTGCAATACGGAAACATATTCACACATAACTATGCTCGTAAAATTTGAACTCACTAACCCTCGTCAAACCTGCTTTGTTCCACTTAATAATTTGGGTTTGTACCTACTAATTTCGAGGCGCGAGCTTTTATCCGCAGCCCTAATGTTGTGGTTTAAACGTTACTATTTGGAGTCCACCTACTTCAAGAACACCTCCTCCATGGTGGTGAGGGAGACACCGAAGGTGGCCACGTCCAACTCTGTCGCCTTCCGCTCCAGATCCGCCAACATTGGCTCGAAGCTCGCCGTCCGAGCTTCGTCCAGCTGGTAGACGATCTCAAACCCCGTCTCCCGGACAATCTTCAGGCCCTGAATATGCTTCGCCAGCAACTGCGACATTTAAGCATTAAATGAGCAACCTGAAAGCTTTCATCATAAACCCTTCCATTCTCAGCAATCATTCATTAATACAATATTACATTTTATAGCACAACCCACTTATGTATTGTTCAATTACGGACGTATACGTACGACTAGTCTGTTGCTTTTTTTCATTTTTCTAAAAAGTAAGTACTTTGAAACCCAAAAATAAGGTTACAACCGCTAATGTTCTACAAAAACATTATTAAAATGAACTTATTAAGACCGTCAAAAAAATTATTAATTCATAAAAAATCAGTCAGAACACATTATTTAGTGTCAGAAACATTTTTATTTTCTCGCACTTACTAAACTTAAGAGAAAGTATTGTCATCGTGGGACGAAAAACGGCGAATTTTCGACATAAAAACTCGTAATGCCTTGGTAACGAAAAAAAAGAACAATTAAAGTTATTAAATAGAGAAAAAACTTCCTCTAACATGTAGTGTAGACATGTTTTGTGCGTTCTTCATACCAAAAAGTGGATTGACAACAAAACGTCTCTCAGTTCGTCAAAATGTTCAAAAAAATTGCTTAAAATTTTTTGATGAAATTTATTTCTTGAATAGTGAAAAGAACGTTTAAGAGAATGGTGCATGTCTCATTTTCGTTGACATCCTCGAAAAGTGGAAAAAAAGTAAACTTCAAAATTGGAGATTGTAACGGTACGAGCTGCCACGAATTCAATATCGAGTGTGTTTATCGATAAAATCGCAGGCATCAAGCGCGGCTAGCGGCCGTTAGAAAGATGGTACCTCACCCCGCACCTATCATCCCTGCTATATCGAGACGAGGGTCGTTTATGGCTTGCCGCGCCGCCGCCGGGTGATGTACTCAGGGCGGGTGACTCTTCCCCCCACGCACGTCAAGAGGGCCGACGGCAATCACACACACTTGAAAGACAGATTTACGATCCAACGAACTTTGGCGCGCACGTGCGGCCGTCGGCTGTCTATGTCACAACGACTTTTTGCGCCGACCGAAGAGGGAGTTACCCGCGGCGCTAACCGACGGAAAAATTTCGGCCGTTACGAGGGATCGCGAGTCATTTATCGAAGCTCCACCCCGCCACACTCCGCTAAATTCAATTTCAGTCAATGAGAGGGAGTCTCACTGGAGAAAGGGGGATACAAGAGGTTTCATGATGACGGGAGAAAAACTCGCAAAACGTTCACATACGATTTTTCGCGAAGGGAGGTTGAGATCTCAAAACATTCACCTTAGAAATTTCGCGGAGGGAAGTTGAGGCTTCCTAAGCACCCACTTACGAGAAGGGAGGTTGAGCTCCAACAATTAGCCGACGACATTTCGAGAAAAGAGATGTAGTTTCCAGCAATGGTAATTATTCTTGCTGGCCGTGAGCTACACTAGCACGTCATTTCTCGGTGCGCGGTAGCACTTTGTCTCGTGCCAGAGCCCGGCTCAGCCCGCCTACGGTAGTGGACCATCCGCGATCGCTTAATTCGGAGGTGAATGATTTCCAATTAGTCACCGCCGACGCGATCAGGTCTGCCATCCCTGGGTCCGCCCTGAGGATCAAGATGGATGAGCGGCGTCGCTGGAGCGCGGCCGTGGTATTGGTTGTAGCAGTCCGGGACGACCCGCTCTGCTGTCGGTCAACAACACCACCAGCTGGGCGTGTTCTACACAACAACTATCATGGTAACCATTAGCTTTGCTCTCGCTAAAATGCGGCAGAACAATAATTGAGAGAAGCTGAGAGAAAGATGCTATCAGTATCATGGCGGCCTACCAGTTTATTTCGTTTTGTATAGAGCTAACCATTAACTTTAAGTTTATACGAAAAACGGTCGCATGTGTCTAATTTGAAAAAAATATATCAAGTAAAATCACTTATCATTCATAATCATCATCTTACATAGTAAATATTTTATTTGTTAAATTTAAATGAGAATATTATTGAAAACATCATCACCACTTCCCAAAGCCACACACGAAGGTTGGGATTCAAAAGACTACAGTCTTACGAATCCGAATGAACTTTAATTTTTTTATGAATTCTACCAGTGGTGAATGAGACGGGGATGCATTTCGAATAATAATTTGTGGTCTGTTTTCGATGTCAACTTTTTCAGCTTTTGGTAGTGTTGATTGTGTTTGCGTGTGTTATGCGGGTTGTGTAAAAGAAGGTCAATTTGTAAACTGACCGAAGTAGAAACAGTTAAAATGGAGGGACATTTAGAAAATCAGGGCGAACTCGGCGATGAGACACAACTCCAGGTACCCACTATTCCGCAGGCGATCGCGAGGAACAGAATGATAAATTTGCTACATTTGATGAGCAGAATAAGAAATTAGATGAACAGAGTGATAATTTAGACCCTAAATTCGAAGCACTGGAGGGAAGAATGAGTGAGTGCGATGTGAACCTTCACGCGAAATTAGATGAAAATATCGAGCAGGAGGTATGAAATGAATCGAGTTCGATATTATCACAGCGAATTGATTTCGCTGCGGCAAAATTAGACTCGAACAGCGACGCCACGAACCCGAAATTGATCGAAATGCAAAACCATCTTGAAGGACATCGCAGGGCATGCTGGCCCGTTCACGGAACTCGAAGGCACCATTAACGCCAAGTTAAAAAGCCAGGGGGAAAGATGGACAGCATTCTTGTGTCACTAAGAAGTCAATGTTGGAAATAAGGAATAAGGGTGAGGCGCCTTTCGAAATTAGAAACGAAGGTGGTTGCGGACATGCAGAAAATAACCAGTGAAATTCAAGAAATCAGGACGGGAGCGGCTAAAAATAAAAACGACAGGGAACAGCAGCTGAAACAAGTGCTTAAGGAATCAATGAATAATTTGCGTGATGAGATGCGACAGGAAATGGGCAGACATCTTTGGGCAAATACCTCGGCTGGGGGTCGGGAAACTGCATAACTTCCGTGGACGCCTCCGTCCAACAAATTTTTCCAGGAACATCAATGAGAATCCGTGCGAATTCATTCGGTGAGTCTAGGATTACATGGAACTCTCTAAGGCTATCCCGACCCATTTGAAAACAAAATGTGAACAGCAATTGTTACGAGGCAAGCTAACTCCGCTGTCTGGTCCGTTACGGTTAAGAAAGGCGAGGATGAAAGGAAGGAAGGATGGTGAGAAGAGAGAGCAGGCGTGTTGTTATTAGATAACGCGGTCGACAAGATAGCGTCACTGAGATTATGTGATTCTCAGATTCTAGATGCAAAGTTAATCAGGATGATCACCTCGCATTTTCCCTTTCAAATTCAAAAACTGTCAACTCCTTGCGCTAACTCCCTGCAGATCCTTGTCGCTAAGTACGACAGGACGCGCATGTGCCAGGGATCAGGGGGAGGTCGATCAAATAGTCCGTACAGGGATGGTGAGAATCAGGGACGCGGACAATGGCGGCGAGAGCAGGGCGAATTTCAGCGAGAAAACCGAGGAGGTCCGTCGACCCAGCAAGCAGCGAACCGAAGCCCACCCACTTCTGCACCGCAGGGAAGAGCGCAGGAGGCGCGTACGGATAAACAGGGAAATTCCGGTCCGACAAACTAATATCTTTCGGTTTCATGGGGTGCCAGAACACCTAACGAGCGCAAGTGCAGGCATTGCCGATACCCATAAAGGTGACTGCGGGCGTACATTTTGCTATTAATGTGTCAGAGGACGATAAGAATGATTTTCTCCTGGCACAAAAATGCCCTACCATAAGCTTCACATGTGAAAAAGTCGAGGCAAGGACCCTCATAGAGATACGGGAAGCGAAGTTTCGGCTAATTCGGCTAGTTCTACGTGAAATTGAAGAACGATCACATTACGTTACCAGAACTTTCTATTAGCAAATGTTTTGTGGTCGGCGTGGGCAAGAAGAGGAGTAGTTCTATTACTAGGCAGATCTTTAACTTTATCATTCACCACAGATTAATTTAATGCCACATGTCTCGTAGTAAAGAATTTAGGGTACGTCGTCGTATTAGGTGTCGATTTTTAAAAGGTGTATAGCGGTAAAATAGATATGAGCTGTGATACAGAATCCAGAGAAAATAATGATGTTTGATGAAAATGAGGCCGGCGTTCACGAGCCGAATGAGGTCATTATGTTTTCGATTACGCGGGAAGAAGCTCACGGTATAGTTAATGAGAAGATGCGGGAAAATTGCAATCTCAACCCAGAAGAGCTATACCATCCGCAGAAATTGTTTTTAAATTATAAGGACGCTTTTATAAGTCAAAATGACCCCATCCCAGATGCCTGCAATCATCTATTTTACCAGGACGTCCGATCTCGACCGGACGCAGTCCTAGCTGCTCCGCAACGTCCGATTACGGACGGAGCGCTTTCTCTCATCCCGCAGGGAGCCCGTCCCTGATTGGCCGGTGCACTCTCTCCGCATTGGCCGACCACTCGGCTAACCGGCACGCGGATAGAGGGGGAACGCGGATAGCTCTATTTTAACTCGTGCGCAGTACATCTCCGCACATTACGCCCTGAGGAAGGTGACAGAATGGCGACTGAAACGTCTTCACCTTGGCCACGGACGCGGCGTTACCCGGACAGCCAATTAAATACTGACTCCGGCCGCGGAAGCCTATGCTCTCACTTGACCAACCGCTACGGAAAGGAAAGCGCGGCGCTGTCCTGGGAGGTACCTTGGAGACGTTGCCGGTGTTGCAGCGCCGCCCCTTCACCACCACGAGGTGGTAGCCGCCGCTGAAGCGCTTCTTGAGGAAGTAGGGCGAGCCGTAGCACTGCAGCCGGCCGCCGGCCATGATGGCGATGCGGTCGCCCAGCACGTCCGCCTCGTCCATCATGTGCGTGGTGAGCAGCAGGGTGCGGCCCGCCTTCTCCTCGCGCAGCAGGTCCCACAGCGCGCGCCGCGCCGCGGTGTCCATGCCCGACGTCGGCTCGTCCAAGAACACCACCTGCGAAAAGCGAGGTGGATCAGGGATACTTATTTAAGTCAAATTCAAAAATATCAACTCTGATCCATCGTTTTCTGAGGTTCCTTCAATCAACAGTAGGCAAATGGGACTCGATATTTCCATGACCCAAATTGTGCTTTTCCCGTCTTTAATACAGTTTCAATCCATTTGTATGAATAATGAGAAGCGTTAGCCCTCTTGTCGAATCCGTCAAACTTAACAACATCCCCCGATTATTGGAGGAAACCAAATTTTCATTCTCCAACTCTCCGACTTCTTGAGAAGAGAGGAATTGCTGCCCTTCACGCTCGTAGAGTTCCACTAGCTTGTCCCGTCGTAAAAGGCTGTGGGAACACCTCGCAGTGGATGTCTCACAAGCCTCGAGGATGGAGAAGAGTGCCACGTGACGACTCTCGGCGGCAGTAACCATCGCTGGCTAGGACACCAACAAATCAGAACGGCTTGATTTTTAAGGCAGGGTAGACGTGAACTTCTTGTGCTGCGTATTCGAACAATGTGTCGCGTTTTTGAACTTTCCGGATTCACTGGACAACTAGTGGAAATGTGTGAAATTATTGAGATCCACGAACTTGTGTATTAAAGTACTTTTCGAATGTAAAGGAATCTTTTCATTTGATTTGGTGGTATGACTTCTTTCGTGGAAATTGTTTTCAACCCCATGCAACGCAAGGCAAAGTTCTTTCTGTAATTATAAATTTGTGAACTCAGTTACTTAACATGTTTACTTTCTTGCCACTCCATTTTTTTTCTGAATTGTGAATAATAATTTTACTTATCTTAATTAAGTTTCTAATTATGCAATAACAAGAGCTTTTTGTTATATCTAATATATGACCACTTGCTCTTTTAAGCATTTTTCTCTCATTGTATTTGTTTAGAAATAACTTTTTATGCCACTACTTTGTGAGAGGTATTTTGCTATAATTCATTTATATAATTTGATTACAATATACTTTTTACATACGGCACAGTATCTTCAGTGTTTGTAGTAATATTTGTGCCTCTAAAATAAATATTTTGGCCATTTTGTATTTAAATAAATCAATTTGCACTCTAGTTGAATTGCTATTCCTGATTTTAGTAAATTTTCAACCATTTTAATTTACTCTTGTGTCACGTGGTCAATGACCTCCTAATAGCTATTGTAATCTCTGTTTATACTGCTCTGGATTTGTTATTTCTTTGTTGCATTATTCACCTATTCCATCTTTCAATGTTTTACTGTAACAGTTTTTTTCAAATGAGTTCTCAATGTATTCATACCCAATGTTATCAAAATTATCCGGAACGTCCAAAATGGTGTGGCCGTGTTTTTTATGGAGGGGCTTGCACCCCTTGTTGTTTTGTGTGGCACTATCACGGCACAGGTCTACGTTGATGTTTTAAACACCTTCGTGCTTCCCACTGTTGTAGAGCAATTCGGGGATGGCGATTGCATCTTTCAACACGATCGAGTACCTGTTCATACTGCACGGCCTATGGCAGAGTGGTTACACGACAATAACATCTGTGTAATGGACTGGCCTGCACAGTCTTGACTTGAATTCTATCGAACTCCTTTGAGATGTTTTGGAACGCCGTCTTCGTGCCAGGCCTCACCGACCTTAATCGATACCTCTCCTTACTGCACCTTCCAGCCCCTGAATAAAAGTATGCCTGCGAGAGTGGAAGCTGCCATCAAGGCTAAGGATGGGCCAACACCCTACTGAATTCCAGAATTACTGATGGATAGCGCCAAGAACTGGTAAGTCATTTTCAGACACGTGTCCGGATACTTTTGATCACATAGTGTAGATGTAGCATATTAGAATATTTTAACTTCTCGCAATTCTTTCCCACACTGAATAAATTTTATCTTAAAGTGCAATTATTATAAGTTTTATTTGTAAATTAATTCAGTTTTTGTTACAGATGTATTTCTATTTGACATGAATGCTATGCTTTTATACCAGAGTAAACTCCACAAGTCACATGTCAAGGACACAAGGAAGATGTCCGCTATGATGTCTGAATTTGCCACAGTTACTATGTCTAGTCCTAACAAGTTTCCATATTCCAAGGAACGGATTTCTCGGGCTCGGATATTACTATCCACTTTCGTCACGTCTGTAACAGCACAATCAATATTTATACTCTTTGATTCTAGCATTTAGGGAAGACAAAGCGTGATTGTATGTTTCGTTTAGGACGTCCCCGTCTATTGAAGAAATAAAATTAGCAAATTATTTCAAAGGGAGCAAATACAACATTGTAAACTCGCCATTTTGGGATAACAGTACTGAATGGATTAAGATAGCAAATAAAATAAGATAAAATAAAAGTAAGTTTAAAGAAAAGTGGTAATGAAATTTCATGTGTTCATTGTAATGCAGAGAATATTTCGAATATATAAAATTCACCATGTTGTATTGTAGTTTTGCGTAGATGTAGATTATACATTTTTTCATGTAATAATTTCCTTAACTACAAAACTGACCCTTCAGAAAAAAAACACCATCTATCCGAACGCCATGAAAGTTACAGCCACCCTTCAAATAAACGTGAACTAACGTCATACAATCTTATGCTAATGGTTCTTTCCTCATTGAATTGAAGCTTGCGCTGGCAGCCATGTTGGGAGAAAATTTACGCATTTTCAATAGTCTTGATAGCTATGGATGGTTGTTAAATCGAAATCCTATCCGTTGTTCAAATGTAATACAGTAAAATCTGTCTAAAACGGAACCTGTACAAGCTGTAAACATGCCGTAATCGGATAGTTCTCCAGACCATGAAGTTAAATAGCACATTACACAGCAAAAAACCTTAACCTGTTTTTCATGTCCCGAAGAAAAAGAAAATCTTCATAAAACAGAATTTCTGTAAATTTAATGTACTTGGCAGAGAGATACGAGATATCCTTCAGAGAATGAAAGTTCAACTGAAAGTATTTTTATTTCTCTGACCCACTGACATGAGTTTCAGTCGCATAGTGAAGGCTCTCAAGGCCCTAGGGGAATTCTCTCTCTCTCTCGGCTCTCTGAGCGTGGGAATGTGTACGGGCATTGCTTTCATTCACGGATCTTCCGGCCCCGCGTTGACAATCGTAACTCCTCGGCCAGACCCGCATTTGCAAAGACCATAGGAGGGTATCAGAAAGTCATAGTTCTCTGGGTTGTGTCGCATTGTGCTTTGAAAGAGCGAGCAGTCCGAGTGCAGTCACTAGGCAGTAAGGTGGGGTGTTTTCATGAGTTTCACAACCAGTTTAACAATGGTTGGAGAAAACATAAAACTCTAAATATTAACATTTTCAACTTCAGAAAACAATTGTAAAGGTATTACTAACTGGGAAAACCAAAAAGGGAAATACTGTAAATGAATGTTGGAAAAATAATATTATTTTAGTGCACATTATGTGAAGGGTTTCTTTTGTCATAAAAATGTTTAATATTCATTTATTGGTAATTTATTCCATAAATATGTTATATATTAATATATTGTTGCAATTATAAATTAGTCATGTCATTTACTAATTTCAGGAGTGAAGTATCAATATAACAAGTGTCACAAATTGATAACCCTGCATAAAACGGAAACCTGATAAAATTAGAATAATTTTTAGTCCCGATCTATTCCGGTTTAGACAGATTTTTACAGTATATGCTTTCAAACGTGAATATTTTTAACCTTCGGTTTCAGCACTTGTAACTGCACATTTGAAAGCCCGAAATTAAGCATATTATAAGGGTCTAGTACCATACACCTTACTCAAAAAAGGGATTCGAATGTACTCCATGAGGTTGCCCTTTTCCTGATAAGCTCTTATTATAGAAAACTTGCTGAAGATTTTTTGGGAAAATATGTGATTCTGAAAGGTTTGGGAAATTTTCCCTCACAAAACGTGCTACTGAAGTGGAAGTTTGTTTAGGACTATATGTTGAGAAAAATTTTGTGATAGTCTTCCAAGACTAGTCCCCTAGATCTTCAACCCACATTCGTTAAATTATAAATTTGTTTGTATGCCATACACGACTTCGCCATGTTATTTCTCTTATAAACCTTTTATCTACTGGAATTAACAAGCAAATGAGATTGAAATACGGCGCCAGTCAGGTTCGTTGTAGAAGTTTGCCTCCAACATGGCTGCCAAGAAATTAGTTAATTTACACCGCTGGTGCTTTGCATGGGGCTACTATATTATTTCAATGTCTTTGACGCCAACGCGCAACCCGCACGGAGCAATGAGAGGCACCTTGGACTTGCCGCAGAGCGCCATGCAAACGGCCAGCTTCCGTTTCATGCCGCCAGAGAGGGTGGTCGACTTCTTGTTCTTCTCGTCCTCCATCTGCATCAGCTTCAGGAATACGTTGATCTCCTCCTTCAGTTCGTCTCCTGACAGCCCCTTTAACTGCACAAAAATATCACTGTAGGGTGGTGCAGAAGAGTAAGTGAATAGTTGTTCCTAGGCGCGCCAAGCACTTTGATCATTAGTGCCATCAGTATAATGCATGTTATAGCAGAGATATGGAGAGGATCCTCTCCTGCCGAAACTTCATATCAGATGTCGAACTACTCTTTGGCTTGTGGTATTTTCTTCCTTCTAGATTCATCCTCTGGCGGGACACCGCTCCAGCCGTGACAAGCTCTAAGCTACCACAGCTTGGAAGTGTAAGCATGTGTGTGTAAGGGGATACGAGAATTGTTGAGACATCTCAGTGAGCCGATTCTCAGTAATTTCAGCCATCTCAGTGAGAAAGCTTATGATGAAACTAATGGTTCCTTGGAAGAAAATCGGAAATGGGATGGACGGGATTTGCAAAATCCAAAGTCACGAATTAAAATATATTGTTTATACGGTGAGCTCCCTTCCACTCGTTTTGAACAAAATGTACTCGCGGTTGGAGAATTCCTCAAAAAGAACGCAGAGATGTGGTAACTGGTTAGGCTGTGTGTGTAAGACGGAGAGAGAA